TTCCTGAACTGTACGATAGACTGACATTTAAACAAATACTTAAACCAGGGGAAGCCCCAGATGTTACCATTGTGTGCTGTGGCATATAATTGGGGTTTGAGGAGAGTGGCGGTAATGGGAGTGGGAGTCAGGGGTGGCACTCTTGCTAGAAAAAGGTAGATGACACGAGTGAGGGAAAAGGGAGAAAAAATGTGGTTGCACGCCTTAAATTGCCGGGAGTAAAACCACCTTGTAATGTAACAATTTTCCTTTAACATCTCAGACTAACAGCAGCTCCGGCCCATTCCTTCATCCAATTATCTTGCAGGTTCAGCCCTCAGTATTGAGAGTGTTGGTTACCAGGGGGAAACCACCAGGTGCTTTGGTTGCCCTACAAAACACACAAACCAAACCCCCCTCAAAGTTGAATATTCTTCTGTTTGTTTCACTGCAGTAATTTTTTTTCCTTATTCTGTATTTCCAGAGTTAAAAGAGTAGATGTACTGATGCAGGTGGGCAGAGAGAAAACGAGAGAGAGAGAGAGAGAGAGAGAGAGAGAGAGAGCGAGAGAGAGGGGAATATTAAACCTGTGTGAGACAAATGAAGCAGAAGGGAGCTGTGTGGAGGCGTGGGTCAGAAATGAAGCTTGCAGAACATGAAAATTATAGTTTCTAGCACGGCTAATGAGAAAGTTGAGTGCATGAAGCCTTATGTTAACTTGATCTTAAAAAAAGGAGAGCAGAACTGACCCCATACTGTGGGATACTGTGTTTAAATGCATACAAAGTATATTTCTGTAGCCCATCGATTTGCAAGATGTTACTTTAACTATTGACAGGTGAAGACTTCTTTAAAATCTAATTCAGCCTGTCTGAATGATGTTACTGAAGCCGAAACCTCTGGAAATGGCTTGTTAAGGAATGGATTTATTTTTACAACTTTAATTTACAGCGTTATGGACCACTGGAAGCCTGTAAAAATGTCAAACTCTGTTGCTAAGAGCTCCAGGCAATTTTCACACTTGCAGAAGATGAACTGCACCCTCTGTCAGAGATTAACAACCACAAAACAATTTTACATTGATTAACCCGTAAAAAGACAGCTAATTGTTATCGACTTGTGGACTAAAATGAGGCTGTATAGGGTTTAGGTGCAAATAATGACTCGATATACATCTTCAGTTTTGTTTGTTTAAGTTTTCACAGAGTATATGGCAACAGTCAAAGCACTGTGTTGTACACGTGTACTTAATAAGGCACTTTTGTTTGTACATTTGTTTCGGGCTATATGAGAGCTAAAATATGTAGACACAATATTGATATAGTGTCTTATGCTTTACAGGACCAGATAATAAAGCTACTTGGTGAAAAAACATTTTCTTTCATTTATGATCAAAAATAAGAATCCTTCCCCAGAGGTACATTAAAATTTAAAAATTGCATAAGCTCTCTCTGAGTATAAATCAATATCAGCAGCCTCTCTTCTCTTCAAAGAGGCAAAGGACTCTCCTCTTCAATGTGTATTGGTAATTAATGGAATTTGCAATTTTATATGTAGTGCTCTGCAAAGATATGTGCACGCATGATCTATTTCCAGGGAAAAAGACTGAAAACTCCTTGAAGCTCAGCTGCATTGGACTCCCCAGACTTTGTCATGATCAGTGCAGTCCCCCTGGAGGGGAATGTGACTTTGAATTAATGAGTCATTCACTGAACAACAGTCTGGGCCGATCTGAAATAGCGTTAGAGGGACAAAGAAGTTCAAATATTTGTAGGTCTTTTACAAGATGGCAGGTTCAATTTGAGTACCTTCCCCCAGGGGAAACTGATCTGATGAGCGAAAGAGGTAAAAAAAGACCCTCTTACACGCTGAGACAGATTGTCTAAAGAGCCGTATGAACGTTATGCAGGTGGGGGGCTGAACCTTATCTGTCATTTCTTAATAAAATAGGACCCTGCCTGCTGTTATTAATATTTTCTTTTTCCCCTCCCATTGTCAGAAACTGTAACACCCTCCTTCCAATACCTTGTACTTACAATAAGTATTGTTTTGGCAACTTGGGTGCAACTGAAACAAGTTGTACTGAATATCATGACCTTAGTGAACTTGTCAGCAAACTATTACTTATTTTACTCTTCTGGTAGATATTCACTTTGAGTCTGTCCACCTCTAGTATTCACTCTCTTTTAGTTCTGTTTTAGTCAACTCCTGAGGGAAATATCTGACTAGTGGCTAAATGCTAATTATGTTCACCAAGTTGCTGTGTCTGTCTGCCGTTTGGTGCTGAGCAGGTAGTTGACAGTGGGGGTTTTAGAGCTTTTGTGCTGACAACAGCTGCCTGCTGTGGCTGAAAATGAGGATATAAGAGCAGTGAGAGTGAACCAAATTCTGGACTGGACAGCTAAATAATGAGCGGAAACTCTGCAAGGTTTGGATGACAATTCTCTGTAGGTTCGTCACTACAAGCATATATATTCTTATTATAAAAATATGTATTATAGCTACCATAGCTATTAATATCTAAAAGAGAGGGTGGGTGGAACCCAACTTAAACTGTATTATTTTAGGGTAAAATAACTTAGACTATAGCCACCAATGTACACATTAGAATTAGACTAAATAACGTTCAAACTGCCACTTAATTTTTGAATAAATAATTGTTCTGTTCCTGTTACTGTCACTGAATGTATGAATTCTCCACAGATGGCTGCTGATGGACTTATTTTATTATTTTTGCCTTGCACCTGGATTCCAAATGAATGAAGGAAAAAAGAATAGAAAATATAGAAATTTGGTATGAAAATACATTTTAAAAAATCCCTCCCCTCAGTAAGAAGCAATATACATGCAATTATTTGCTCCTTTCCCCTCTAATAATTTCTATACAGTCTCTAACTTATGACTCAAGTACCTGAGGTCCCAGACCACGATGCATCAAGGACAGCTCGCTACTTTGCATTTGCCGCAGGAAGTAAGAGGCTGGTACCACCTGTAATGTTTCACACGCCTCCATGTAGCACGTCTGCCCCGTCGGGTCATATGCCTCCTCCTTATCTGCAATATGAACAAAGACACTAGCTGTAGTGTCTGTATGAATTGTTCGCTATCAATACCTCTTTGAAAAAGGAGAGATGTGGCACTTTCCCCCGGAGGAGGACCTTTTGAGTGTGATATTGAAAAGTCCCTCATGGCTGATTTCGCCCTGTCAGGGGAGCTCATTCATACCAGATGGTTTTCACTTCTGGTGAAAAGGAAGCCTGACACAAAGACTGAGATGAAATCATTAAGATGCAGAACAGGGCTCCACATGTGTGGGCAGGCGCATGTAGGAGTTTTCTAGTTTGTTTTTTTTTGTTTTTTCTTCTCTGAAATCATTTAGAGATTGAGTAGATGGAAAGGCAGCAGGGAAAGGTTGGACAGAGAGGGAGACAGGAGGGCTTTGCTTTATCACTAAAGTAAGTATAAAATATTATTTCATACAGAAAATACCAGTTTGAAATGGTTAATGGTTAACGATTTCCCCACTTTTTTATAGGAGGGAAGATTGCGGCCTTTGTCATAATTAACTTTCCCCCCTTATCTTTCTTTTTCTATCCATAATCAACTTTATCTATACTCACCAAGCTCCAAATCTGTGTCGTAGTCCTCATCAGAGACCACACACTCCTCTCCTCCCAGCTCCTCCTCTTCTTTTTCCTCCTCCTCCTCCTTCTCTTCCTCTTTACCCTCTCTTTCACCTCCGTCTACCATGTTTCCGTCAGGGCTTGAGCGTTGGTCCTTTGGCCCACGCACGTCGACCTCTGTCTGGCTCACTCTTCGCTGGGCGGAGAATGACAAAATAACACATCGTGACTCCTCAAAGCCAGCAGTTGTTGGCAGCCTGACTGAGAAGATTTGATGGATTTTCTGCCAGGAGAATAAAAAACTGATCCCTACACTTTGAACAACTGAGTCTGTCAATGTGGATGGACCATTTTAACTTGTCTCTTTAAGCTTGTATCCTTCTGTCCTTATTGTCTTTATAACAACTTCCCTTCCCTCCTACTCCGTAATCTCTTGAACCAGAGGCTGTTATAGCTGTCTTTCATCCCCTTTATTTCTAGGCCTATGGCATATCCACTGCATGTCTCAGTAAGCTAAGCCATATATTGTTATTTTCAGGACTAAACCGTCTACTCAGAAATACCATTATTTGGCATGCGAATGGTTCTGTGCATGTTCTAGGGTACTTTACTCATACTGTATTTATTAAACTATGGTGCATGGAGCCCTGTGATTAGACTACATAAAAGTGTAATTGAAACAGGCTTTCAGGGTGAGACTCTGAGTCCCCTCTCTTAAATTAATTCCTGCGAGTACACAGGTCAAAAGATCGATCCATAAAAAGGAAATAGCAGGTCTGCGGCCTGTTTTTTTGAGCCTGTATTTCCTTGCCCTGGGCAAGGAAAGTGCTCAGACGTAGCAAGAGATGGAGTTGTGTGGTTAAAACGTCCATTTCTAAAGCCTAATATACTCTTGCAAGTCTATAACATGCTTTAAATTCTCACGAAAAATCCTTCCCCTGTGTCTTATTTAAAGTCAGGCTTCTGAACAGAATCCTTAAGTCTCCACTTGCCTACCTGGTTGTTCACACTTCCCTTGTTCAATAGTTTGCAGACTTGGCTGGATGGTCAGCTTCCTACCTCCCCCAGCTGCAGCCTCTCACTTTCTGTTTCTGCGTCATCGTCTTCCAGCACAGAAGGCAGCAGTGTCTCCCTGGCCAACTTCTTCCCATGAACCATGACTTCGACACTGAGTAATGGAGATACTGATACTGAGAAAGATATATTTTGCAACCTTTATGCAAAAATAACTTCTGACTTTTGCTTTATTCCAAGTTTGTTTTTAAACTCACTGTGATGTTAAAGTATTTGTGCTGTAAGTGAAATCACTGCATTGCACCTGACCAGCAGGTTGTGCAGCTATGTGTTCATGCAACCTATCTTGCTCAAAGGAGGGTCAAACTCTTTGGGCTAATTAGAAAGGCCACAGCTTCTCTACATGACAGCCAGTCACCAATCAGAGTACTTGTGTAAAGTTTGGATGACTTGTTTTGTTGACACGTTACCATGGCGCTGAGAGGCATCTTTGTGTTCTCTGTGTTTGTTGAGTGCCAACGCTCTGAGCCATAACAACCAGCACTTACAGTGGCAGGATGAGAAGGGGAAGCAAATGGCTTGTTTGCTGCAACTGTGTTTTTCAGGACAAAACTGTGTATCAACATCTAAATCTGACCTTCAAACTAAAATGCTTCGACCTTAAACAAGACCTACTGCAGGAATAAACTGTTCCAGTCTGGCTTATTTCTTATATAAACAAGAAAAGTAAACCAAACACATGTGTTGACATATTCTGTAAATGTTTCTCTTTATTTGTAAGTAAATGCAAAGTCCTTGCAGTTGATGCATTAAAATGGAATATCCTCAATCAATTACACAACAAAGGTCATTATAGCAGAGGCTGATTGGATCAGAGTTGTTCATAGCAGCAGCAATATGCAAACACAGAAAAAGAAACCCCTCAAAAATGTTTTTTACCAATCCGAAGCCCTGTGAGAAAGGCCGGATAACTTCACAATACAGTCTCACTGACTGACACAGTGCTGGTAAATAGACAGAGCTTTTTAAATATGAACAGGAGACAGAAGATCACCATGCATTTATTTAATGCTGCTGTTTTTCCCCATACCTAAAGGATATGAGAGACACCATAGAATATGCCTTTTTTTGTTCTTTTTAAATCAAGCAGAATCATAGTGCTCATTTACATAATCAAAATACATTCTTAGAAAAGATTGAAGTGGAACTCTTTATATTTTATACTTTGTCTTTGAATATATATATATATAGAAGCTATATATAGAAGCTATATCTTGTATCAACTGTTTTCCTGTTGCACATTTTACATCACAGACATTTTCTTGACGACTCTCATTCCAATTTAACTAAATCTGTTTAAACAAATTATACAGAGGTGACATTCATCCAGAATGAACAACAGTGGGGACAATGGGAATCACCCATTGTCTCCCAGCAGTAAAAATAGTTGACTCAGAGGAAATCAGAAAACAAAAATATTCTTAGCAGCTGTGAGGGACATTTGAAAATCACATTGAAATCCGTTAATCATGCTGACAGCTATCTTTAATTTTAATCAAAGACAAATAAAGGGAACAAACAAGACTCAGAAGCTGACAAGAAAAGCCACAGGTTACTGCAGAGAGGGTGATCAATAAACAATGTGGCCTCTGCACAAACATATTCAAATTACAGCCCTGACTCATTGGAAAGCAGCAAATGACCACAGCGGCAGTGTGATTGCCTCTTGTCCCTGAATGAAAAACTTCACTGCAACTTACAACAATAAAACTGCTGAGATTAAAACTAAAAGCCATGTGGGCAGTTTCCTGTTACCAAAACACCATCTGTAAGATTAAATTTGCAGGCTTGTGTGACTCACAGAGCAACAAATTCATGCTTATTTTAAAATCTGACCAGTTTGACAAGGTAACAGACAACAAGCAGAATAATCATGTAAAAACAAACACCTGAGCACATGCATGTTTTACACCCACTCATATAGAGATGCGCACACTTATGATGATGTCTATAGCACACACACACACGCGCACACATACACACACATACACACACATGCTGATGCTACTGAGCAGGTGTCAGGTCACAGTGAAAGGGTGGCGTGTGAGCCGCAGGGTTGCGCAATATCATGCAGAGAGACAAAAGAAAAAAGTATGTAGGCAGAGGCAGAGAGTTAATGTAAGGCAAGAGGCAGAGGAGTCATGATGCTGATAAATGCATGTTTTATGATATGATCTGGACAGCACAGGGAGCTAAAACAGATCTTTTTGCTTCCACTGACAATGTTTTGTTACAGAGATACTTCATTTTTAAAGTCATAGTTGACATTTTGTTTTGTTTGTTTACTTTTTTTTACTGAGAATAAGATGAGAAGATCATAACTTCTATTTAGTCCTTTGGTAGCGAGATTATTATAATTTCCAGTTGTTATGCTCAGCTAGGGCTATGCAACTTAAGCCCTGCATGAAAAAATAGCCCCGTATTTTCCGTACAGACAAGAGAGTGGTATCAATATTCTCATCTTACTCTCGGCAAGAAAGAGAATAAGCATTATTTTCCCAAAATGTCAAACAATCCTAGATTTCATTAAATAATCAAAAAAAAAAAGAAAATAAAGTTTTTTTCAAAACAGTTTCCCTCCACCATGGTTATATAGTTTTATTTTATTATAGTCAACACATCAATACTTACATATTTTAAAATTTGAGAGCCCTGAACAAGTTTAACTAAGATTATTTTAATATGTACTGACTCAGGTTCAGACTTCTTTAGTGGCTGCCTTGCACATTCCTATGCAGCTGCTGTGGGTTGGGCAAGCGCCAGCTGTGACACACAACATTATGATGTTATGAGAGAATGGACAGTCACTAAAAAGACAGCTGGCACAGAGGCTAATGCATTTTAATGGTTTACCAGTAAAGAGCTAGATAATATGTTTATTCAAGCTGTGACATGATCGCTGTTTTCATCATTTAGGGCGACCTGTCAACACGCCAAAATTGTTTTTCTACCTGCATGCCTGTACAGCTTTCACTTATCTCTACTGTTCCTGAACTTTTCCTAAAACTACAGTCTTGGATAAAAACAGCCCAAATAGATGTAACCAGCCCTGATTCTTTCCTGAAACGTAAAATCAACTTAATTCATACTTCAGAAATGTCTTTGAGTTTGTTATCAACGCCACGTTTCCCTATAAATATAAAACCTCAATAAAAGCCTTTTAACTGTAACAATAACACAGAGTATATTATATTTCTTGAGTATATTCTTGTCTTGGTCATGCATTCACAATGAGGCAGGTCATTACACTAGGTGCACACATTATGAATCAAAATGATCAATTTATAATTTTTGGAAGTATCATCAACAAGCAAAACAGATTTTTAAAGAACAGAAACATTTCCAACTTGCTACAGACAAAATCGCAGAGCCCAACAGAAACATTTAAGTGGTATAAAAAAAGAAAGAAACCCTTTTTTTTTTACAGTACAAAAATTGGCACAGTATTCTTTAACCAGCGTTGCCGTGTCCTCTTGACTGGTTGTCGCCAGAAAATCCCCAATTCATAGACTTACGAGCAAAAAACCCTGAGAGAGAGAGAGAGAGAGAGAGAGGGGACAGAAGGAGAGACAGAAAGACAGACAGAGAGAGCAACAGAGACATAGAAATAGAGATGTTACAGTCATTACTCATCCAGCGAGCAGGGGCTTTGATGGCCAAATGTGAAATTCAAGTGACAATCCACACAGGAACCATCGTCTGTGATGCATTATGTTGGTGCTTAATGAGCCGTAGTGGCTATGTAGGGCCCTTGTTTTGCTCTCGTGGCAAGGGTATATGAAGTGTCTAATCTTGAATATGCACAAATAACGACGGAAACAAAAACAGTAATGGAACAGAGCCACTCGCTTTCACTCTAATCCTGTTAGTTTAAAGGCCCTTCTCCACGGGTTTCTATGGTTACCCACTCTGTTTTCATCTCAAACGAGGTGGTGATAACACATCGCCACATCGCCAACAACTACGGGTTGGAATTGGATTTATACAAACGTCTCTCAGAGATAGAGCTGCACTGATAATCTCACTAGCTGAGATAAATCTCAATGGGCTGTGCCAAAACGTTTTCTTTCTTTTTTTTTTGATAAAATATGAGCTAACCAGCTGGCAAATTTGAGTGGCAAAGAAGGATCTCTGGTAAAAAGATGAATAAATAAGAAAACACATCATAGATCTTACTGTGCACATCCCACACAGTTCAGGGGTGTTGCAAATGAGACAAGTGAATGGTCCTGGTTTTATACGTTGTGTATACACACTAGATATAACCATGCCTCCTAAAATCCAGTCAGAGACAAATAGACTATGAGATGATGGAGGAAAGAAAGAATGAATGAATGTGAGTTATTTCCTGGTTTCATTTGGTGAATGAGATGCTTTTTAACAAATATGATTCATGACTCTGAGTAAGCAGTTTACCTAAATGACTTACCAAGTCAGAGCTACTTGAAAAGTTCTAGGCCTGTGGTCTCAAATTACCCAGGGGCCCCTGGCCAGGTACCCATTTGAACACAAGAATTTACAGTTTGTTATAATTTAAATTTAACGACCATAAGAGCATTGGACCATCATCAACACTATAACCCATATTCTGGTATTAATGTTACACACAGGCACAGCTTGCTAAATGGTATATCTGAAATAAGGAGTCCTTCCAACAAAATTAAACCAAAGTAAACGACTGGGGGAAAAGGGGGGGGGGTGCACTGGAATGGAAACATAGGGAAAAACTAATTAAATTGGGTTGAGTGTTGAGTTTGAACAGTTTGAGACCCCTGTTCTACAGCAGGTTAACAACCAAACTCAATCAGCCTGTCAAGGCCCAGAGCACTTTACAACTACTGGCCAGGTTGCCATTAAATCTGCTGTGGGCAATAAAGGTCCAGTGTGTAACA